TATAACGCAAGGCGTCTTGTGGATGTGTTTGGATACTGAAATAGCACCTGCAATGGACATGACGCCTCTTATTGCACCGTAGGGTGGTGAAAATACGGTACAGTCCATGCTTTGAGTGTCTCTGCTCGCTTTTTTTTCTTCTTCTTCTTTCTTCTTCACATGGGAATGAAAGATGTATGTGACGAGACTTGGCCAGCAGGAAGACGGGGGCGGGGTGGGCAGTGACTCACTCGCAACAGGCTGATTTCGGTGACACTCGTACAAACCACAAATTTGTCTTTTGACTCATAAAGTGGCGTTGTCGTGCTTTCAGCTGGATCAGCTGGTGATCAACTCGGCCAGGGAGAAGAGAGAGCTGGAGCACAAACACGCAACCATCCAGCAGCGGGTGAGTCGGTCCATGTGGAGAAGCACCGTGCCGCATCCCTTTGGCGTCTTTTCATTGAGCAACTGGAAAGTTGCCGCTTTCGACCGCAAGCCGTTGAGCGAGTGAACCAGAAAAATTGTCACAATTGTTGATTACGTTAATATCCAAAAATTCTGCTCTCCCGAGTCTCTTAAGATGCCACTGTCCGAGTTTTGAGAAGATGATGGTGATTTTTCTTGAGTGCATGCTTCGCTGCACGAGCCACCTGTAGAATTCTCAATTAACTTCGTCGGTGGTGCCAAATGCCGGAATACAAGTAGAAAAGACCACTTCCCTCAAATGCCGCTGCCAAAGGGCACGTTTGATTTTCCCCGTTAGTGCGCCGCTCATGTTCTGTCTTTCTCTTCTCTCAGACGCTCATGCAGGTGAGTCCATCCGGTGTTACTCTGTCGCTCCAAAACGACAAATAAAATCCACGCGAGGTGGAAGAATCCTGCCTCCGAATCCTGGCGATTGGCTCGGAGGAAATGCTTGACAACGCGAGGACGTCCTTGACCTTTGCCGCTGGCACTTCACGCAAGATGCTTGCTCCTCAGGATTTGGCTTACGACGACTCGAGGGCGGAGTTCAATGTGGACTCTCCCAACGGCGTAGTGATGGAAGGATACTTGTTCAAGAGGGCCGGCAACGCCTTCAAGACGTGGAACAGGTGCGGCAAAAGATTCCGGCGTCCCCCTCCGGAGGTGGTCTAACGTTGCCTTCGTGCCTCGTAGGCGCTGGTTCTCCATCCAGAGCAGCCGGCTGGTTTATCAGAAGAAGCTCAAGGCAGGAGCGTCTGGAAATGGTCAGCCCTGACAAACGTGGCTGAGTCTAAGCAGGCCTTTTTGTTTTGTCTGTGGCCAGGACTCTCTGACGGTGGTGGTCGATGACCTCCGTCTGTGTTCCGTCAAACACTGCGAGGACATCGAGAGGCGCTTCTGCTTCGAGGTGGTCTCCCCGACCAAGTAGGGCTTTTCATTCACTAGGCGATCTCGGATTTCTCTGTGCGCGTTTCACCGGTTTGGCGGTTAGAATTTACTGCTCAAAATGCTGCTGCCCACTTTGAACTAGGAGACCAAGTCATCCATGTCGCGTCCCACCTTCCTCTTGCTCGTGTACTCC